TTGATTTGCAGAGCTGGCAGGGGACAGATAAATCAAGGGGCAGGGGGAGTACCCTGCTTAGTTAAGACAATCTGTGACCTTGTCCTTTTGCCTCTTTGGCAGACAAAAATACACACATAATGGCCCAGTTAAACTGCTACAGTCACTTGTGAATATTAATCCGCAATAGCCCTTGAGGGGTTTCTGGATCTAGTGGGGCTGCTTTTCTGAAGGAAAACAAACAGTTGTCTTAGAACGGTCCCTGAGATGTAGTGCTGGTGATTGTGGCAATGTAGTTGGAGTTAATTTTGGTTCCTCTATGGCAGAGAAAAGCAGACATTTGTTAGTTGTGGGTTATGTTGAATATTTGGGAGGGGGAATGGAAACCACACTGAGCAGGGCAGTGATGAAAAGTGGGTAGGGTCATATTACGCATGTAGGCTGAGTGAGGATTTTCTGTGTTTTTCTGGGATTCTGGGGATGTTGGGCTATTTTTCTTTGCATTTCTAATTGCAAAGAATACTTTTAGAATGTATACTGTTACTTCTTTATGCTTCCTGTGGTGAAATCAGGTTTATTTTAGTCGGAAGTCTAAAGTTTATTTTGGGGAGAAATAAATATAGTTTAAAATCTTGCCACCAACATCCCAAAAGGATAAACTTGGAGTTCTAGCACTGATGTTACTTTCAGTCTTATCAGCTTTTTTCTTGGAGTGTAATATTTTAAGTGTGTAGGGGGAGAAGGGTTATTCTATTTCTCAGTGGAGCAGTTAATTATAAACAAAATAATTAACAGTAACACTGTATGTAGAATCAGTACATGTTACTTCTGTTTAGAAGTACATTATCAAAACTCCAGGCTTATGGGCAGAATTAGAGTTTACTATATTAGATGGGTCATCAGTGTCCCTTTTCTTTTAATATTATATATGATTGTCTCTGTTTTCTTTCTATTCCCCCTTTTTTTCCTATCTAACTATAAAGTGCTTCTCCCTTCTTTTCATGTCTGTCTAAGTTTGTTAGACATTTATTACATAAATTTTGGTACTGCCCAGCTCCTAATTCTCATGAGACTAAAACAAAATATAAAACCTACAAATCAATAAAGTCAAACTCCTCCTCAAAGCCCACTCAAATAAAATGGTCTTGCCAACCTGGTGAACTTCTGGAGGAAGTGTTTTGTACCAATTGTAGCTCCTGGGTCATCTTCAAATGAAGCCCCATGTAGAACACATTACAGCTGTCTACCTATGAGGGTATGGGGGACGCGGTGGCGCAGCGGCTTAATGACGCTGAAAGTTGCCGGCCAGAAATGG